AGGCATTCTAAGTAAGCGCGTCCAAACCATTGCAGCGGTACAGTGATTCGTCTCAGAAAGTCCATTTCAACTGCTTGTACATGAGGTCGAAGTTTTTCGCTCATGACTCATGACTGATGACCGTAGACATGCACAGGGATGAACATCGACTTGTACTCTAAGTACTTAGTCTTCAAACTCAGTTCTGCTTTAATCAAACGGTTCCGGCTAGTTCACACAGAACTCCATTGGCTACTCCAATCCACCGGTCGATCTCTTCCTCAAATTTTTCATCACGACGCCGAGGTATTTGAATTTCCCCGCCTGCTTCACTGTTTCTACGTTTATCTGAAGAGATCATCGGATAGGAGACCGAGAAAGCATTAGGCTTTTGGTTTTGGACAAGTTCACACGTATGACGGTCAAGTCGTACCTGGCTGTGAATCTTTTCAAAAAGCGGTGCAAATGAGTCTCTGAAAATGCCAGTAAAACAAGGTCGTCTGCCAGCACTATCTCCTCTCGATACCTCCTATGCTAATACTCTTATCGCCCTCGCTGCGCCTGTCTGTTCTCTCCATGAACAATGCAAAGAGGGGAGGGGACAGAACGCAGCCTTGGAGAAGTCCAGTGACAGTGCTAAAAGACTTCGACTTAACTCCATTTACCCCGTTGCAGCACCTTCAATCAGCATGCAGTGGTTCAATGACCCGTAGCAACTGGTCATCGATCTCATGTTCGCAGGCATGCCTCTAAACTATTGCGCTGGATCCGGTCATCGGTTTTATCTTGGTGAACAACGCGCATGTATGCCGGACCGGAGCAGCGAGCTCCCATGATTTCTCAACAATCTGGCGTAGGGTGAATGTCTACTCAGATGTGGTTCGGCCAGACCTGAGGGATCTGCTAAAACCGTTGCGCAATGTTGTATGCTGGTTTCCCTCGTATCCGTAGTAGATAATGTTTCCCGTTTGATCATGTGGTTCTGTGATCATCTGCGCAGCAATAAAAGTAAATATTTTTCCCGGCAATCCCGGAATAAAAACAAACTTCAACCTACGTGTGCCACTCCCCTTGACGACGTCACCGCCATCAAACACCTTGGCTTTCACCCTTCCAGATGTACAGTCAAAAAATAGAAAGTATGACTGCTACAGCAGCAGTTATTGCCTATTCAAACCGTAGTTGCGACGACGGCAAAACAGTGTTGATGAAATGCTGAGTTCTGCAGGCCGACATGCGCTCAATCCTTCTTTTCGGAGATGAGAAATGGGTCTTAGGAATCGAAGGCGTTAGGAAACTAGAATTCTTCAGCTGCTGATGTTTACGCGGACAAGATTTATAGATCATACATCCAACGCCATAGTCAGCAATCCGTGCCCATTACACTATCAAACAGCTGTGTACTTCCTGGAAAAAAAGGCTACTGCTGGGGCACGTAGTGAGGCGTCAGTCACATGTCGTCAACCCAGGTTCACTGAAAGCGACTCGAATCCTTGAATGGTACCGGAAAATAAATTACGACCTACCTTGTGGAAACAATCTCTCTGAGTTCTGGTCAGAAAATAACTAGTCAAGGTCAAAGTCGTCAACAGAATTTTTCACCATCAGTGAATTTGGCTTGTTCGGTGCCCTCAACCACGGATCAGGAAAATTACTACAGTACCAACAACAGGCCAACATGGAAAACTTAAGTCTTAAGGTTCAGATCTTAAGGATCAAAACACAAGTCTTAAGGGTAAGATAATCTTTAAACCTTTCTGAAATATAATAAAATATGTATCGACTCGCGCACAGTGTTCTGTAAAATAAGTTATTTATGGCAAAGTTATTTTGGTAATCGTATGCTTATTTTTAGACTCCACGCCTGTATGACAAAGTGTACGTTGTGGGCCTGACAGGTGGTGTTGCCTCCGGTAAATCACACATCGCCGAGTACCTGCGAAGCTTAGGAGCTGCGATTATTGACTGCGACAGATTGGGCCACGAAACGTATTTGCCCGGTACCGAGACTTATCAGAGGTAAGACATTTCATACGTCAGTGATTATGGCATGGTTTTTTGTAGGATCATCGACAAATTCGGTCAAGAAGTGGTCAGCGTCGACGACCACCGGACGATCAACCGCCAGTTGCTTGGCAGAATTGTATTCGGTGATAAGGTGATTAGTTGCCAGACGTTATTGGCATTGTCAACGAAGAACACTGTTTTTTAAGGGTGCACTGCAAGCATTGAATTCGATCGTCTGGCCGGCCATACGACAGCTGATCGAAAGAGACATCGCAGAATTTCAACGCCACCAGAACGATGCATCCACAATTGTTGTAGTCGACGCCGCTGTCCTCATCGAAGCTGGTTGGCACTCGCTCGTCGATGAAATATGGGTAACGTTCGTTCCGCGAGATGAGGTAAATTTTTAGAGTCTTTAAGTTTGAAGAAAATGAAGTGGAAAATGCGTTTTACATTAAACGCGTAGCAAGTGATCTCGGAAAGAGGGATTAGGTTTCGACGGCAGGATCTGCCGACCCTCTTTGGTTATATAATTTTACCACCCCTAAGTCAGGTCTGAGGGTACTAGGAGCGTAGTCGAAATCTGCTCCCACTTTTTGAAACCATTTGTTGCGTGTTCTATAAAGCGCTTTTCGACAATTTCTTTTCTTCTAAACTTTTATACAAATCGTTCCTGCAACTCGGGAATTTTTAAATGAGCAAACAGCCCCACTTTTTCCAGTTGTCACGTTACCCAAGATACCTGTTGTTTAAGTAGCAATTGTTTTAAACGTGTTAATTTCGCAAGTGGTCCTGTTTTGATTTAAAGGCAAAATTGTAACATTTTTGTATGAGTCGAAGTAACAAAATATCTTCAGTTTTGATGCAGTGGTTCTTGTTTTCTTAAAGCATTTTTTGCATAACTAAAAATCACATAAAGACCGTTCTTGTTCTTTCATTGATTTGTTTGTTCATCTTCACAATTTGCAATCGTTATCAGATTATGGATAGCTTCAGAATATCCTTCCAGTGCCAGCCATCGAGCGAACTTCATGACTTAAATCTTAACACCTGTCTAGTCAGCTTTTCAGTATCATCTAGCCATCTTAGTCATTTGCCATGTTAGATGAGATCCAGTTTTGATAGTTTATTGTTTTCATCCTCATTGGTAATTTTCTTCCAGTGTTAGTCTCTTTTAGCTTTTCTCATTTACTTTCTTCACTCTTTCTCATATTTTTTCCTTTCCTTTCTTTCTTTCCTCTTTTTCCTTTGTTCTCTTCTTTCCCTTATATTTCACTTTCTTTTTACCTTTTCGCCTGCCTTTTCTTCATGCTTCCCTTCCTTTTTTTCTTTTGCTTTTCGTCCGCTTTCTTTGTCTTCAGCTTTATTCTTATTTGTATTTTTTCGCTTCCTTTGTCATCTTCGACTTCTTCCTTTTCTCACTTCCCTTTTTCGTCTTCTTGTTCTTTTTTTATTCCTCCTGTATCCCAACTTTTCTTCGTTCCTTTCCTTCTTTCTTACATTTTTCCTCATATTTCTTTTCTTATACCCCTGCCATCTTTTTTCTCCTCCATTTTGAAAATATTTTTCTTTGTTCTCTCATTCGTCTTCTCTCTTTTGCTGCCTAACTAATCTTCCTTTTGATATTTTTTCATGTTTTTCCTCACCTTTTTCTTTCCCTTTGCTTTGTGTTTATTACAACTCTTTCTCGAATTTCGTTCTTTCACTTCTACTGCCTCTTCATTTTTCTTTTTTTTCTTTCTTTCCCCTCCCCATCGTCGCCTTTCTGACCCTTTTAATCTTTAATTTTTTCTTCCTCCCTCTTTTCCTGGTCATCTCTTTCTTTCTTTTCGTTTTTACTTCTTTGCCTTTTTGCTCTTGTTCTTTTATTTGTTTTTTTCTGCTTCTTTGTTTTTATTTTTGTCGCTTCTTCTTAGCCTAAGGTTCGCAGTTCAAGTATGTTTTTTCCACGTTAATGGATTTTTTGCCACTTATTTGTACTCATTGTCAGTTGCTTAAAGTCGTTCTTTAACATTACGTCATTCTTCATTGACTTTCTTCTTCTGTTAGTTATTGTTAGTGCCATTGTTTGGATATATGGCTTACTTCTCAGATTTTCTGTGTATGAAGGAGAGCTAGCGGGATCTGGTTTCTGACCGTTCTCTGCTGTCCGTCTCCCAACATTTTAAAACATATTTTATAACCGACGACAGAATGAGAGACCGTTACTTGATACCGATGCCGTAGTTGAATTACTGATGCGAATAATTATTTCAGGTAATACGGAAGATCCGCAACATTCTTTTGCTTTCAGATTCATAGGCAAAGATTTAGACAAGCCACTGTATTTGAGCCCTTTTCTGTACATGGGTGTAAAACCGCCTGTTTTAGCATTTTAGAGCAGACAGCGTACAAATTACTGTAATCACTAGAAATTCTTTCAACAAAAGCAAAAGCATTTTGAAGCAACGTATATTTTACAGTAAACTAGAATTTGTATATAGAATAACTTATGCAAGTCATAATAACGGGCCATGAAACGAAGTGGCATTATTGTCTTGCTTGCACAGAGTATGGTTAACTAAGCAGGTTAGGATCGCGCAGCTCAGTGATTAATTTCAAAATGTTGTGATTTTTGTACTGAAGACGGCCTTGTTTCGAACATACAGTGTTCAGGCTATAAAAAGAATAATGGATCGAAACCAGAAGACAAGGGACGAAGCATGTGCTCGCATCGATGCTCAGATGAGTGTCAAAGAAAGACTGTCGTATGCCAATGTTGCCTTTTGCTCTATGTGGGCATATTCGGTAACCGAGACGCAGGTATGGCCATCACGACAAATTTTTTTTATGATTATCCAGAGCTGTCACTAGGTGCAAAAGGCATGGAACGGTCTCCGTACCAGATTGCTTGCCACGGAAGCTGCAGTAACCGACGTTTGTGATCAGCGATGACGAAAGCTCGATGCCTTTTATACATCTCGTTTATTCGTTAGTGTCGCTGTGTTTCTGTAGAGCATGAATAAGAAAATGGAACTACAGCGAATTTTGATTG